CAAAAAAGCTTTTGTTTTCTTAAAATATGCATTTAATATCACCTCATTTTCCTGTGATTCTCAAACGATTCGTTCGAAGCAGTTCAAAGATTCAGTCTCTCTAAACCCCTCCTTTCCGTGAGCCTGCTCTGCTCTGATTGGAGAGATGGCCTAGTCTGTTGTGATTGTTCTACGACGTACAGCGCGTCGGAAACGATATGCCGATTTCAATAGTTCTGTATTTTGAACGCTCTATAGAAAATATAAACATCTATTATTTATCATACTTACAGGTTGCGATTCAGTGGAGCAGCTGGTCCATAATAATAATCCCCGAGATTAGAGAAGCAGTCGTCAGTAGAATGACGTGTTTGTGGGCGGGGTTAAGTTGTTCGTGGCCGGCCAACGTAGAACATAGGTGTGCATTATGCCAATGTGTTACCCCGTGACGTGTAGCCGTCACGGAAGTGAGATTCGAATTACTAACAACTCGTTTCAGCTGTTCATTCTTTATTTTGGGAGACAATAACTTTATTTATCATGGACAGCTTTACAACTTTACAGATCGTTTACATTCACATACAGCTACATTACACTGCATGAAAGGCAATATTGGAAATAGCATAATAGGGGCACTTTAAAGGGACTTTGTGGCTGTTCCCTGGCTCAGTGCACATTGGGACGGTGATCACTTAATTTCTGGCGACATGACTACGTACAATGTCAATGAACAACTTAGTAGAAAGTCATCACTGGAATTAATAAACAACAGGCAGTACCAATCTAATTTTTATATTTTTTTATTCTCTTTAAACACATGAAAGAAGAAAGAAACAGTTACATGTTCTTACAACATTTCCACCGAATATCATTTATAAATGTTAATTAGATGTGTTTATTACCTGTCTAGCGATGTGTTTATGTTGAAATATACTAAAAAAAGTTTGTCTTTTCAAATCTATCACATGTCATTACATTTATCGAGTTGGCTCGTGTGGTTTATGTTTCACGCTTCAGAAATGTGACGTTATTTCCGGTAAGGGAGCTGTAGGAGCCAAATTAACAGTGTAGATCTTTAAGGAACCTGGCAGGAAGTAGCTATTAGCGACACCGTTTGATGGCATCACTGGCTTTGCCGGTGTTAGACAGGAACACGCTACCGGAGGACACCAAGCCAATACAGTTTTCTACGGGAAGAAAGTTTGCTTAGTGTCGCATTTTATTTTCTTTCTTGATGCTTTTTGGGATACCATGGTATATCCTTTGTTTTGTTCTTTTTATATCTTGGTATTGCTTTTCATATAATTACGAGTTAGTTACGAGTTCATATAATTACGAGCTAGTTACATCAGCGGATGTAAAGAACTACTCCACCCTCATCAATAACATCAAGCAACGGGAAGAATCAACAAATCAACGGGAATAAATCATCGGCACTGTAAGTAAAGCCTTCCTTGTATATAACTCGCATGCTTGGCTGATAGAATATGGCAGAATGCCATAACAGGAGCATATATTGAACCTTACTGAAGGCATCCAGCATGTACCCATAGCAACATTCAGCTGCGTAGTGATAGTTAAAGAGGTCATATGATGTTGCTAAAAAGAACAATTTTGTGTATTTGGTGTAATGAAATGTGTTTATGTGGTTTAAGGTTCAAAAAACACATTATTTTCCACATACTGCACTATTGTCTCTCCTCTATGCCCCGCCTTTCTGAAACACGTCTATTTTTACAAAGCTTATCGGTCTGAAAAGCGAGGTGTGCTCTGATTGGCCAGCTATCCAATGCGTTGTGATTGGCTGAATTCCTTAAGCGTGTGACGGAAATGTTACACCCCTTACCATTACTGTGATGCCTTGTCCGACCGGAGCAACGAGACAAAGACATTAAAACCCATTATAAATGAGGCATTTATTGCATCCAGTGAGGATGGATTATAATGACATACACTGTCTTTTTACGCGTTGCATCGCGCAAAAATAAAACCATGTCTGAATTTGTGATCGGAGAAATGACAAACAGCAAGCGCTACTCTGACGATTCAAAAGCGAGTTTTGAACAGTGTAGTGGCAAATCCTTTAAATATAAAAAAAACGTACTTACAGTCTGTGAGTCAGAACGGCTGGTATTGTAGTCTACTCTACCAGGATCAGGAAACAGTCCTCCATAAAATGCACAAAGTAGTATAAAATGCTTTCACAACGAAACACACAGCGCCTTCACGACATGGCGGCAGCAACAATACTACAGCGAGAATAAAAGTTACGCCTTTTTTCTTTGCGTGAACATTTGGGCAGCGTTATGCAAATCTTCCCACATCTTGACGTAGACATGTGGGGGCGTGTTAGAACGAGTCGTTTTAGGTAGACGTGGTTGACTCTTTATTTTATAAAGAATATCTCTTTGGATTTGAGACTTTAGTCTTTGCAACTTTACAGATCTTCTTTATGCACCAAGAGCTTGTAACACTCCAGAGAAAGGAAAAATTTAAATCACATCATATGACCCCTTTAATGATCCTCCCGGTGATTTCCTCAGACATGGCTTTGAGTTTTTGAAAAGCTATTTTAACTTGTAGATTTGTAGAATAATTCAATATCAAAGATTTCTATTTCAGATAGTGTTCATATCGATATCGGAATTATATCGTATCGACCGAAATTAAGAACTATATCATGATATCAATTTTGGCCATATCGTCCAGCCCTAGTATATCATAATGTTTATATTTTATGAAAAGTTTACCTTTTAAAACGTTTGCTGAAATTGTCCGTCATGTACGGCTGCTGATCATTATGTGAACACTTTCAAAGCTAGCGTTAGCATGTACAGCTGAAATGATTGAATGTATATAATATCGACAGATATTGAACTTAAATATTGAATTTCCATATGGTAAAATACACACTGAGGCACCTATGCAGCAAAAAGTCCATTTGGGACGGATATTTTCATTTGTGCGCTAAATTTCGGACTGCTTTGTCTAAATCCAAATTGTCAACAGTCTTTACAAATCATTTTTCTATGGACAAACGATACTCCTAGACATAAAATCATAACACTACTGAATAGGGCTGGACGATTAATCGAAAATAAATCTTAACCGAAATTCAGAACCTCTAACTGAAGTAATTTTCCCATGTCAATTATTTCGTTTTTTAAATCCATACTACCACGTGTGTAGTCGGTGCTATATATGCGTTGCTCTGGCGTCTTTTGCAGCGTCTCGCACGTGAGTGGCGCTCTAAAAGAATGAATTTAAACTTTTACATGCAGCGCCGCTCATCAATGTCAGTTCCAAAACAGAAGACCCCGGAAAGCGGGGAAAGCATTACGAGCTTTTGTTTACAGCAGAGCCAGCTCTGGTTTACAGTAGTATGTCTGCACGTCAACTTTTGTATTTGACGGCTACGTGGCGGAGAAGTCATTCTGTCATTCATGCTGGTTATTTTCTACTTTTGACATGGCATTATTCATTGATTAATTTTGTTTGCAAAAAAAGAAAGCGGTTTTCAATTTTTTCTTGTTGATTATTATTCTTTTTTTTTTTTGGAAACTCGCTTTTTACAATAAAACTGAAATGTGACTTCTTTCATAAGACGTCTTTTCAAACAATATGTGCTTTATTTCAGTTGTTTGAAATATTCAGCAAATACCCATAAATAGTTTGTTTCCTTCAATTATTTAAAAATCCCCAAGGTAAGAAATGCACTCTCATTAGGAAAAAAAAATCCCACCTTTAATGGCGGAGTAAATTTACAGTACAAACCTATTGAGCTATGAGGGCAAAAAATAAATAAATAAAATAATCGTAATCGAAGTAAAGTGTTAAATTAATCAAGGTTTTGATTTTAGGTCATATAGCCCAGCCCTACTACTGAATGTGTTCATTTTGTTGTTTTAGATTAGAAAACAATGGGGAGAATTGACTTCGGACTAACGTAACCGCTGACAACCACACACACATACAGATACATGGAAAGAGCAACGCAACTTCACAATTGTTCAATTAAAAAAAACATTTTTCTCCTTACAATGTGTCTTCTGTCTTTGGTTAGCCTAGAAGTAAAATAAAATGACACTCAAGAGGACATAGAGTGAAAGTCCTTATGTCCCAAATGGCCGCTGGAAATCCTGTGAATGTTCCCGTAAATGTCCCCTAAATAGCCTCTGCGAACGTGAACCTGGACGTCAGAGTGTAGGGTTCTCTTGATGTCGAGCGGACTACTTTTCCAAATTGTCTATTGGATTGTTGTCGTCATACATTAACCTTTTAATTAGCTTGTGAAACCTATTAATATGATTAATAATATGATTAATAATGATCAATAATCAAGAATGTTTGATGATTAATTTGGTTTGGTTGGATTGTGAGGTTGTAAAGTAATGCACTGCATTATGCATACCACACTTGAGTATGAAATCTGACTTTTGTATTATTTCTTATTTCTTATTGTAGCAAACAAATCTATACCCATGTGTGTCCACAAGCCCTCATCACAAAGAAACCTTAATAAATCAAAAGGACTTTGCTATGCTTCTTTCCCCCTAAATTAATCTGACCATGGATTACCTGTTTACTAAACACTCAATACCTGTCCTAGCATATCCAGGTGACATACTTCACATATATTTGATATATATTTTCAGCAGCATTTTTCCAGTTTTTAATTGACTAACTCTTTTGTGGACTGACTAAAATAATGCATTTCAGATTTAATAACATTATTATTATTATTTGAAAAATGACATTAATTATTTTTACTTTTACTACATTTGTCACATGACAGGACAATTTATTAACTACATTTATTATTAATAAAATTAAGAATAAATAAAAAAGCAAATAGTCTTAAAATTATGAAAAACGTAAAAGAGATGGTGAACAGTAGTTAGAGAATCCAAAACAAACACTTTCCTATACATTCTTATGCATTTTAACCTGAAATCAATGTTTATAAAAACAACAACAATAAAATGATTCAGTGCTTTTAAACATGAAGCTTAACAACTCACCTAAATATAAGATTTATGCCAAAGAGGGTGAACATAACAACAGTATAGCCCACAATGCCTGTGGTGTAGCTGATCTTGTACAATAGGAGGAACCATTTATAAACAAGCCTGTATGGAGAGAAAGATAAAATAGAGTAAAATCACCAAGATATAAATGACACCAATAATTGCCTGAATCCAGTATCACCCCAAAAATAAAAATAATATAAATACAAAAATGTGTTTTGCTCCGAGTAATTTACCCCCAAATTACATTTTGTTCTAATTTACTTTGAATAATCTCTAAACTTTCTGATTTTATGTGAACCTTTCTATAGACTCCTCAAACAGTAGAGCATGGCACTAACAACAGTGATTTTCAATTCTCAGGGAATGCATGACTTGAAAAAAAATGTATACGCATGCCATCACTATTACAGCCCTTCCCTTATAAGGAGCCTCAAATATTAGCACACAGTGTAAACAGGGTCATCTTGAAAATTTGAATACTGTTTTATATGATTGTACTCACACTGGCAGCACCCAACTATGACTACTACTGTTCAAAATAATGCATGCCACAGCGTCACTCACATTATTTTCTTTGAAATACAGTGATTTGGAACCAATATGGGTCCCACTTTATATTAAGTGTCCCTAATGCCTGTGTACTTACATAGTAACTAGATGTGTACATAGTATGTAACCACAGTGTAAGTACATATTGGTACATAGCATCTACAGCTCTAATGTTTGTGTAACCACACATATGTAACAACCCACTGAATGGTATGTGTAAGTACAAATGTGTAACAGGACATTGGTAACAACACTTTTTGGTAATGAAAGTACAAATGTGTAACAGGACTAACAGCACTTTTTGGTAAAGAAAGTGTTACACTTTATATTAGATTTATCATGCAATTAATCTGATGTTACACAGCAGCGGCCAGTAAGTTAGGCTTTACGTATAAATTGTGGTTGGTGTCCAGAATGTTACTCTTTATATTAAGTGGACAGTTCCTGAGGAGTTACCATGTAAGTACACTGGTATTACAGTGGTGCACCAACTCCAACTCGAGATCCAACTCCTCCCACTTTACATATCCCTAAATCTACCCATCTCCACCCCCTGGATCAAATGGTTCCAATTACTCTTATACATATTGTTTTTACAAAATTAAGTTATATATGTCCTGTTACACATTTGTACTTACACAAACCATCCTGAGGGTTGTTGTGTGTAGTTACAGAAATATTACAGGTGTAGATACTATGTACCAATGTGTACTTACACTGTGGTTACATACTACGTACACATTTAGTTACTATGCAAGTACACAGGTATTAGGGACAATATAAAGTGTGACCCAAATATGTTCTGACCTTAATTCAACCTTATACCTCAATTCAAACTTATTGACACCACTTTGTTTATTCTTGAAGTGAACTTTTGTCTGTTTGGTGATTAGATTGACTGTTTTGGACTGACGCCTTGAACATTTGCCATCAACACTAATGTTTTTGAATATAATATTCTAATATTAGTCAACACTTATATTTTGAATAGATGTCAATAGAGGTAAGGCTTCAATATGTTCAATATGACTTTGGTGAAGAAACAGCTGATCACTTAAATTGATTTAACCGATTTAATTTAAGAATAAATATTAATATAAAATATAAATATATTTAAATCTACGCTGTGACTTAAATATAAAAAGAGTACAAAAATATTCTACTCAAGTAAAAGTACCATTACATTAATGAAATTTTACTTAGGTACAAGTAAAAGTACCAGTCTAAATATCTACTCAAGTAAAAAGTAAAAAGTAGCTCGTTTAAAATTTCCTCAGAGTAAAAATTACTTCGTTATATTTTAACAGTGGGAGGGAGGCAAAACTAGGATAGGCCAAGGGTGTAAAACTGGAGGGCCACAGTCCTGCACAGTTTAGATTAGGGCTGGACAATAATTCAATATCAATATGTATCGCGATATAATTTTTTTCAATAACGGTGATATGATTTTTAAACACATTTCCGATATTTCGATATACATTACCAGTTTCCCATACATTGATTTATTTGTGCCGTTTGACTTCGTTGAATAAACATGAGCACTGCAGGTTTCATAATCATAACACGGCACGGGTGTTTTATATAAATGTATCTCTGAAGGGAATTGACGGTATTCAAAAAAGTTTTCATTTGATCTGATAAAGAAGCGTTCATGAACGGAGCTGCTTTGATTACAGCCATTACTGAAGAAACCGCTAAAAGCGCCTCCTGCTGGCAGAGAATCAGTTTGCATTTTAAATAAGCCCGTCTCTAGCAACATTTCCAGTTTTTGTTGTGGTTAAATTTTTTTGTTTTCTGCAGCGACTCGGAGCACTTTTCATACCCTTTTTTCTGGCTGAAGCACATTTGTTTCAATCTATAAGAATAATCAGCCTACACTACCAGTCAAAAGTTTTTGAACAGTAACATGTTTTTTTTTTCTTTTTTCTTTTTAAGAATTCTCTTCTGCTCACCAAGGCTGCATTTATTTGATCCAAAGTACAGCAAAAACAGTAAAATGTTGAAATATTTTTACTATTTAAAATTGCTTTCTATTTGAATAGATTTTAAAATGTAATTTATTCCTGTGATCAAAGCTAAAGTTTCAGCATCATTAGGCCTACTCCAGTCTTCAGTGTCACATGATCCTTCAGAAATCATTCTAATATGCTGATT